GGTAATTTTTAAGACATTTTCCAAATGTAACGACCGAGCCCCGCCCCATCCCATTGTTGAGTGTGAAATGTGCGAAGAGTGTCTGAGTCAGATGCATGGCATGGCAAGCGTTTAGGTTCAGGCGTTCGGGAATTATGCTTTAACTTTTGCAGCATTGTGATCCAGAACTGAGTTTCGTTTCCACGTAAGGTCCAGTCGCATCAAGTGGACTTGAGGCGCTCTAACCACTGGTAAGGCCCTAGTTGAAGTCAGCACTGTATTGAATGGGCACGGTAGTACTTGTAGCTACGCATTTGAGGATTGTTTTCCCAATCGGCAATGGGTTTTGATAAATGCGATACGCCTTACTTACATTACTGCAGTAAATTGACAATGTGTTTGACCACGTGGTTATTTCAGCCTCTGCATCTTGTACTCGCGCTCTGAGGTATGGTCTTCGGGTCGTGCCAGTGGCCTCTCTGCTCTCCTGAACATTAGTGATACATGCTCTTTCATACTACTTGGAGTTATCACAACCGTAGGGAGGACTTGGGATGCCACATCATGTAAAACACTCGATGCTTACTAAGAAGACGTGAAGACCTGAATCCAAAAGCGCTGTAACTGAAGCGCAGTTTTGAGCAATGAATGCTGAACAGGAGATTACTCGAATATCCCAGCCCATTGCTAGGATCTGAAATGGTCTCGCGCATCATAACTTTGATGCATTGTATGGAAACCGCCTATCAAGACGCTTAGCATACCCCTCCCACCCTGACAAAGAGCCCCAATGCATTGGCCTAATCGCCATTTCCCTTTACTACATAACGAATCATCCCCGTAGTTCAAGTAAGCCCAGTTTTCATCAAAAGTGGCCTCTCATCCCATAGGCTCAGTAAGTTGACAGTTTGCTGACATCGAGCAAAGTGTGGTAAAATTATTTGCAGCTTCTAACGTGAGCCCCTTCTCTACGGTTAGTGGGACTTGCATACCATTTTCCCAGGAGCTGGTTGGTTTGACACGTTTCGGTGACGAAAAGTAGAAAATGTTCCATTCACCCAGCAAAATTATGTTTTTATAGAAAGCTCTGATTAGCATTGTTGATAATAACCCTGATTTTCGTACCCATAGCTGTCTGTATAGTATGCGCCATAGGGGTCGTTTTGAGGCAACTCCCATGGCAAATAGACGGGTACTAGCTGGGTAGCAGCGGATTGACCAACATTCGAAGGTAGAGCTAACTGATTTCGTTTCCATCCTCCTTTTCTTGGAGCACCTCGTAAGGCGTAAATTAGGTCGTAGAGATGATCAAGTTTGCTCCTACGTCGGCACTCTCCCTCAGCAGCGCCTCCTCCTCTTCCATCTCCATCATCGGGCACCGTGGCTTCGTTTTGATGGACATCATTTCCACCACGACCACCGCCACCATTGAGTCCACTTCGCTTAAAGTGTTTTGCTTGTCCTTTCTTGAGGTATTTCGATTCTAGCTTCATCTCCTCGTGTTTCAATTGTGCGGCCCTAATGTCTTTGGCGTTGTCGAATTTAACCACCATCTCGAAAGCCCGCAACCACTCGTCGTTTTCCTCAGGTTCGCAGTTTTTCTTCTTTTGATATTCATCCATGATAAGTTCCTTGGCCACCTTAAACAACATCATGTTGAAATCTCGATCAACGAGTTCCTCACAGGTATTGACCGGCCTGGGTGGGCACTCCACCCTACTTGGAGTCTCCGTCTGGGCAGGGGGCTCAATCCATGGTGTTGAAATCCCCTCTGCATTGGCCTCTGGAGTATTACTTTTATAATTCTTTTGCTTTTTTCTCCCTCCAAAC